GTTTCTCCGCCATCTCGGAGCGCTGACAGGTCCCGGCGCGTTCCCGCAGCGTGAGGTCAGCGGGGCAGGGAGAAGGATCGCGGGGCCATCCGTCAGCCCGGGATCAAAGCGCCCCGCGGGTTCCCGTTCCCAGCTCGTTCCCCGCGCCCCAAATTCCCCGCGGTTGCCGCGGAAACCACACGCGGGCGCGGATGCTCCGCGTTTTTTGGCTGCCCCGCATCTGTTTCCACTCGAGCGCCGCCGTAACTGGAAAAAYCTGCGGCTCCCAAGGCGCTTCCCGGCCTCCAGGGGCAGCAGCTATTCCCGGCTCCTTTCATCTTCCCCATTTATCAGCGTTATCCTCATTTTTTAAACTTTTTTTTTTTTCACGCGGGATGAAACGGGGATTATTTTTGTCCTCTGGAACAAAGAGAAGGAGCTTGGGGGAAACAAAAAATAAAAATCAAAGCAAAACAAAACCTTCTGAGGGCACCGAACGCTGCCGAGGCCACCCCTGACCGTGTCCCCAAGTGCCACCTCCGCTTTGAAATCCCCCCGGGGATGAGGGCTCCACCCTGCCCAGGAGGAATTTTCCCAATTTCCAACTTAAACCTTTTGTGGCACCACTCGAGGCCGTTCCCTCCTGTCCTGTCCCTCATCCCCTGCAGAAGATTCACCCCAAAATCGGGGGGAGATGGATGTGCGGGGGTGGGGGAAAACCAGGAGGAGACGTGGCCGGAGGGGAATTGGTAAAAACTGGGAATTCAAATCTCCCATCCGGTGATTCTCTCTGACTCAGTGAGCTGGGCTTGGCTCCGTTGGTTTTTTTTTTCTTTAAGGCCTGAAATTTTCCCCGATGTGTCAAAAGCAGCACCAGAAAAACCCCCGGCGAGCTGGAAGAGTTCTTAAAACCACTTCGGTGCCTCGTGACCTTTCCATGAGAAGTTTGGATGAACATCCTCCCGAGAAAAAAACACTCACTGAAAGAACAAATTGAAATGTTTGAGGGAAAAGCCGCAAACCCTCCAAATGTGRGGACAAAAGCCCCTCGGGGCGTGGGGCTGCTCCTTCCTGCACTTCAAAGCTCATTGTGTTCCTGCCTTTGCTCCCGGATCCCAGCCCCGATCCCAAACCTCCCCTCCCCCGGCCAGAACCCTTCTCCCGGCGAAATTCAATTCTGTTTTATTTTCTTTTTAAAAGAAAACAATTAAAAAAAAAGAATTAATTAAGGAATGAAGGCCAGGCACAGCCCGAGTTTCAGCTGGGGTTGGTGGCAGCTCCCCAGCCCTCGGCAGCGCCCCCGGAGCGGATCCGGCCCCAATCCCCAATAATCCCCAATAATCCCCAATCCCGCCCTCCTGGGGATTCTCAACCCCAGAGAGCAGAGAGCTCTTCCTCTTCCTCTTCCTCTTCCGCTTCCTCTTCCTCTTCCTCTTCCTCTTCCTCTTCCTCTTCCTCTTCCTCTTCCTCTTCCTCTTCCTCTTCCTCTTCCCCTTCCGCTTCCGCTTCCTCTTCCTCTTCCTCTTCCTCTTCCTCTTCCACTTCCCCCTCCCAGGAGCTGCTGGGTTTATTTGACAGGAATTTGGTGGTGGTGAGGGTGTTGTGGGATGAGGATGGAGGAAAGGGATGGATGGACAGGGATGGACGGATGGGTGAACGGACGGACGGACGGATGGATGGATGGATGGACGGTTGGATGGACGGTTGGCTTGGCCGATGGACAAATGGACGCAAACTCCAACTCATTTTGACCAAAGCCGTTCCTCAAGAGCCCTACGGGTGCCGATGTCTCTTTGATGCTCCTTCATTTGGATTTGGAGGATTCCCAAATTCCTGCCCCCACCTGGATCCTTTGCAGGTGAAAGGCTCCTGCTCCACACCAAACCAGGGGATATTCCTTTGTGGGGCCAAGGAATGGGTTGACCCTGGGCCAACTGGGTTGAAAAATAATTGTAAAAAAAAGACTGAGAACCCCCCCCGCAAAGCGGACGGAGCTGCCTTGGCACCGGGAACGTTCCCCGGCATCCGGGCGGCAGCCGGAGCATCTGTGCCGAGGGCCCGGGGTGGCGGTGGGGAGGGAGGCAGGCAGGAAATCTGGAACCCATAAGCTCCAGAGCCGCCGGCGTTGCCCTGCATTGGTCTGCGCCTGGTCCGCCCCCGCCCCGCTCGCCCTATCAGCRGGAGCCCTTCCCTTCCCCAAGTCATCCCCGCGCCCTCCTCCGCTGGCCCAAAGGAGCRGCCAAGGAGCTCCTTGGAGGGCTCTGCGGGGCGAGCCCCGAGGGCGAATGCTCCGGGCTGCGCCTCCCGAGCCACCGCCGGCTCCTCCGCGGCCATGAAGGAGGAGAACGCGTGCCCGGAGTCCCCCGAGGGCAGCGCGGCCACCAGCGAGGACGAGGCGGAGCGGCTGCCCAGGAAGAGCGGCCGCAAGCGCGGGCAGGGCCCCGGCGGAGCCCCCTCGCCGCAGGGCAAGCGCAGCCGGCGCAGCCCGGCCCCGCAGCCCCCCGAGGATGCCCACGCCCAGCGCGTCATCGCCAACGTGCGGGAGCGCCAGCGCACCCAGTCCCTGAACGACGCCTTCGCCGAGCTGCGCAAAATCATCCCCACGCTGCCCTCGGACAAGCTCAGCAAGATCCAGACCCTCAAGCTGGCCGCGCGTTACATCGATTTCCTGTGCCAGGTGCTGCAGAGCGACCAGCTGGAGCACAAGGTCGCCACCAGCTGCAACTTCCTGGCCCACGAGCGGCTGAGCTACGCCTTCTCCGTGTGGAGGATGGAGGGCGCCTGGTCCATGTCCGCGTCCCACTGAGCCGGGTACGTGTGGCCGAACCGCCGCCGTGTCCTCCGGGCTCCATCCCGCCGGGGACGAGGGGATTTGTCCTCCCGGAGCGCCGGGCGGTTCCCGAGCTGCTCTGGAGCGGCTGATCCCGCTCAGCGGGGTCTGCACCAGGGCAGGGCTGGGAAAGGTTAAAAACCGGGGCTTAAAACAAATTTGATTTATCCCCAAATTCCTTGCTGGCCGTGCCGAGGTGTCAAACTCAGCGCCCTGCGGTGGCCTCGTGGCCTCCAGCCCGCCTGGCCCTCCCATCCCGCTCCTAAAGCGCTGCGGGCAGGGTGGGATCCGTGATCCCGTGGGATCCGCTGGGATCCCGCACCGCAGGGATAACGGGACGGGAGAATCTGATGGACTCAGCTCCACCTGAGCGTCCTTCGGGATGCCGAGAGGGAAAAAAACCCCAATTCTCGGAGTTTTAGGGCTGGGAGGAATCGAGAACGGGAGGAACAGGGTCGGCGATGCAGAGCGGGAGCAGAAAGTTCCAGAGGACATTCCCAAGCCGGGAATTCCCGGGACACCCCATGGGATCGCGGGTCCCGAGAGATCCCGCTGTCCTCACTTTGGGATRCCCCAAATCCGCCAGGAKCARTGSGGATGCTGAGCCCCCCGTGCCCYCCTGGACCCCTCCCACTCTTCTGGGCACCCCCGTTTGGGTTTGGCATTTTGGGGCTGAATTCTGCAGTTTTGGGGTTGCTCCCAAAAGACGGGGAAGCTGCTTGGCGTCATCCCGAATTTTGGAAAGCCCGGCAAAAATCCCTTTTCCCAAAAAAGGCTGCGCCCCCTCCCCAGCACCCCCAGACCGATTTTTACTCCCGTGCGGGACCCGACGCGGCTCCGGGGCCGGCACCGACTCCCAGAGCCGTTTATTTAAGCCGAGTTCTCATTAGGAATTCTGCTCCCGTGATAAACGGATTAAAGACCCTGGGGTGACTTTGGAGAGCTCCCGTGAGCGCAGCGGGATCGTCATTCCCGATAAATCCCATCCCGAGCGGTTCCTCCGGCTGGGGAGGGAATCACCATCCCCGAGCCGCCCTGCAGCGTTTTCGGGTCCCAGCGAACAATCCCAGCTGGAAAGGGAGGGGGATTTTTCCAAGCAAATCCCCCAAAACCGGGGAGGAACCGGCGGGGAAGCGGAGCCGGGCTCGAAGGTTCCGTCTCCCTCCCGGGAGGGACCGAACCCGGCGCTCGAAACGGGGCTGGGATTTCCTAATGGAAAGCAGCCCCTGGATGGTGGAACTCAGCCTATTAAATATCAAAGCGGGGTGGATGTGCCCTCGTTAACCGGGACACATCAGCCGGGGAAAGAGCGATGGAGCCCTCAGGCTACAGAAATCACGTTTGAAGTSCCCCCAGCTCGGCTTTTCTCGGCAGAGTCTTGAGCGCATTAAAATGGTTTCTGTCCCTGCTGGAGGAGAAAATGAGGCAGGAGCTGCCGGGGGTGGGGGCAGAGGCTGCGGAGCCGCGGGGGCTGAGCCTCCCTGCCCTTCATTTGTCTCGCTGGATTTATCGCCTCCCGCGCCGTGCCCTCACTTAATTGTGTCTCCTGAAAGACCTTGGATAAATCTTCCCTTTGGGGACTGTTGCTCTCGCCTGGAATCGGCTTTGTCTGGCGGCTGCTTCATTTGCTTTTATTTATAAACACCTCTGGCTGCTCCGGGGC